AAATAGTTTTGTTCGTTTTGTTGTGACGTGAGTTTTCTATTTCTCCAAGGTATTTTTCCATCTTTCACCCTATTATCAGATAGCTGGGCCTTTTTTTGTGTGTGTATTTTTATTTTGATTTTTTTGTATAAAATAAAGTTGGAAAAAGCAACAACTTTTGTTTCAGGTTGTCAAACAACAACAATGTGGATAAACGGGTATTAGCTGGTTTGGTTCCTAATAACAACAACATGTTAAGTTTTCATGAGATTTTAATATGTTTTAAGCAAACACTGACATGCACAGCCTACTTTTATTATTTCTGATTATGTGAAGACAAGCCACGCTCCATGTCTACCTCCTGGTGACTGCACAGCAGCCCGTAAAGACATACTTCTTCATTTATTTTTAGACATTTCAATGCGACAGGTTGCTCTCCGTGTGCACTCAGCTGCGGCATGTTAGTCTTGTGCTGCAGTTTAATGAATATTTGATAGTACGTGGTTCAGTGAAGTAGGGCAGGAAAGCTGCTTGTCAGGATGCATTTGTTGACTCATGGTGATCTAAACTGTAACTTTGCCATTAATGACCTTCTGGAGACGTTGCATCTAACGTTCCTCTGCGAAAGACTTTGACACTGCAGTTGGCGGTGTGCCTGCTCGCTCAATATGCAGCTGTCAGTTCGCTGTGTTGGATTTTTTTTTTTTTTAATCCCTACACTTCCTCTTGAAGAAACGTAGAGAGGTAACAGAATTTCAAATGTGCCTCCAGATGAGCAATGCTTGTGTAATCATGGTAAAGGTTGAATGGACAGAAGTGACACTAGATGAGTAAGTTTATTGTGTTATCTGTTGCTGCTGGCCTAAAAACAAACCCCCTAGGTGGTCAGAGTTTGTTGTTTGCCTCTTTGTGTTGGCTTTATGTCCTTGCCGCATCATGACTTACATCGTCAAGACAGTTTTTTTTCTGGCTCTGCCAAAAAAAAACGTGCGACTGTCTTAATAAAGACTTTTCCCAGTTCAGAGGGCCAAAGTGTGCTTGAGTGAGAAAATTAATACAATTCTTCACTTTAACATGCACGCTGAACATTGAAAAAATATATTTAGCGTAAAATTAGGCTCCAACAAATCTGGATTTCAGCCCAAAGTCCTATAAGTTGAATTTTGTTGCGCGCTGGCGCGACACAAAACTGTCTGATTTGATGTGGAAAGTCAAACATTCATAGCTGCTCAGTTTTCAGCCGGCCGCAAAAGACCGCCACAACTTGCTGCAGCCAAGTTGTAAGCGTGTGTTTCAGCATGGTGCCTTGCTCATTTTGAACTCTGCTTCACCCTCCTATGCATTTCACCATCTGCTTCCCTGAGGTATGAGGCCTACCAGGCTTCGCCCCGGGTAATGACTTCCTGTGAGTTGTGCTGCAGCTTGTAGGATCGACGCCACTATTTTCTTTTACGGTGATTTAAAATGATCTTCCGTCATCTCAGAGGTGTGAACCAAAGCTCTGGAAGATGAAAAGTGCGGGACGTCTCTGCGTCGAGTCTTGTACCTCATTTGGAAAAGTGGACGATAGATTGGAGATCACAGGCACATCTCCAGGCTGGGTGGTTGTTGTTTTTTTTTCCAAAGAGGTTTGTTTTTAGTCCTTGCTTCTCCCCTCTGCACAACATTCAACCATGCATACTCTCCTTTTGTAATGTTATTTGCTAGACAGCACAATGAAAGGCAAGTACTCTCCAACAAACAACAGTAATTGTTAGTGGCCATTGTATTAAGCCATTCAACATGCATTTGAGCACAGAGCGATTTAGAAAAAAAAAAAAACAAGCAAACGCATTTTTTAGACGGTTGGGGCATGTGCGTCATCCAAGCCTGATTTTAAAAGTATTTTCCTCATAAATATAAGTAAAATTGCACACAAGCGTAATTTAGACAAGGAGCGGGGTACGGCTTTTGTTTAGCAGACAAAAGCTGGGTATAAGATGATTTGGTAACATGTTTTTGGCTGAAATAGCCTCGGGGAAAACGCACCCAAACGACTCCCAAGAGGTCAGCTCTGCCTCTGCCTTCACAGGCCCTCAGCTGTCCTCCAACCTGAAATCAAGACGCGCAGAAGTAACAGAGAAAGCTCGGGGATATTTGCTGTAACCTAGAGTTAGTGATGCTAAACAACATGTTTCCTGACGGACCTGTGGAAATATCTCCGGGTGCGGCAGCAGCTCCACCATGCTATCAAAACAGCCGGATTTGCAAGCCTTATTAGCCTCACACCTTGGCGCTCATTAGTCCTGCCTCAGCTCTCACTACATGCGCCATGTGGCCCTAATTATCCTGCAGTGAAGACACCCAAACGCGTCCAATCTTCTGGATAACAGACACAGTTTGTCTTTAAAAAAAAAAAAAAAAAATGTCTTTGCAACTTTAGCAGTATTGTCTATTACAAGCGACGTTGTTTTTACTTTCAGCTTCACATACGAGCCAATGTGAGATCTTTACATTATGACTTTTACATATCTTTTTAATTGTATTCAAATGAGCATTATAAACACATTCATATCTTATTGCGTTTGTTTTAAAGAAAAGCAATTATTAGTCATTTTGCTGTTAAATGATATAATATTATTAGCTTGTGTTATTCTTTTGATTTTGATATTTAAATATTTAGCGGCGTGTGACTGCATGCTCCATACAGCCAGAGGAAACTCCAGTCTCTCCAGCATGTTTTCGGGAATTATCTCCCTGAAAGAATATCAAACCGAGAAATGGCCTGAGAGAAGATTTCTGTGGTTTTCGAAACATAACTTATTAAAACCTCAGTCAGTGCGTCGTGAAACAGTGGTGCAAGCGATGCAGATGTAAAGCGAATAAAAGCCGTAAATGATCCGATTCATAGTAGGAGAGATTTTCTCCTAAGAGAGACGTTGTAAATTTTAAATAATATTCTGTATCACGGTCATTACTCCTGCTCCACGTTTTTTTTATTCATTTTTTTTAAACATAGTAATGTGGTCAGAGGCCAGGTTGGGCTAGTTTCTTTTTTTTCTCCCCCACACTTTGCCAAACCCCGATGTCTCTGTTTCCCTTTCCTTTCATAATCTCTCCTGTGGGGATCACTTTCGTTAATCATTGTGTGTCTTTAGTGCTAAGTTGCACAACATGGTGCAAGATGGGGTGGCTGGGGGAAAACTTGTTTCTGAATCTGTTACCTACTGGGGGAGAGAGAGTGTGTGTAAGCATTCTATGTAGTTATTCAACAAGGAGCAGGACGGTCTCTGATGTGCGTTTCTTCTGTGACTGAAACGATTAATCGGAACAATCGTTGAATCTGTTATTGAAATAATCATCGACTAATTCAGTAGTTTAATCGTTAACCGGAGTAGATAAGACTCAAAACAAAGGCCGTATGCTGAAAAGACAACATGCAGTAATTAAGCCAAAACTATACAAAAGATAAATGCATTTTATTTATTTTGTAAAATATTTAGCGTTTTGCATTTTGGTGTTTCCAGTAGTTTTACCTTCTGATGCAACTTTTGCTACAAATTATAAAGGGTACACTAAAGTATATTTCAGGCAATACGGTGTTTATTTTCTTATTTCAAAAATGAATTTAATCATCTGTTTATTTGCCTCTTTTATTACATAAAAAGACTTAACTGGCAGAATGAAAAATCTGCAGACTGTGCCACTTTTGTTTTCTTTCATCAAATTAATCAATTAATTGTCAGAAGAATTTATGAAATAATTGATTTTTGAAATAATTGTGACAGCCCGTGCAATGGGATGCAGGATGAAACCCAAATTACATCTGGCTAGTCTGTGGTAAAACGTAATATTTCACAACATTTGCAGCTTTCAGATGCAGTCGCTCAGAGCTGAGAGTGTGGCTCATAATAAGTTGTTTTCATAATATTGGCTTTTTGCTCAACCTCAGATTGTTGCAGAAACATTTCATAAACAAAGGTTGCCTACCGCATTGTATCTGATTGTGTGAAAATGTGCAAGAGTCTGCGCTCTTATATCAGCGGTACCGATCCTGGCCCGATGTTGAGCCAGACAACAGTAGCTCCGCCGCTTTGAGAAAATACTACAATCCTTCTGTGCTGCTGCTAATGCATCCAGCGGTTATTACACTGCACAGTCCATTTAGAAAGTTGGTTTCTTGGGTTTAGATTTAATCGTATTTGACTTTCTAGCAGAGCAGCAAAAGGTGGCTACAACATTCCAGCTGCAGTTTGAGGCAATATTTCAGTGTCTTGTTGTTGACAGCTTAGAAAGCAGAGTGACAGTGTTGAATATGGGCTTTCTGGACTCCATGCATCACAACCTGTCCGTCTGTCATGACACACTGCTCTTATCTGCTGCACAAATACCAGTAAGCTAAACACATCAGCATGACCCCTGTCCTCTAGTGCGCCACGGAACTAGAACAGAATGGAATTTGAAACGTTTTAGCCAAAAATGTTTCTATGGTCAAGGTGTTTTTTGCAGAAACGTTTCAGATTTCGTTCCGTTCTCCGGCTTCGCTCGAGTCCGTCGGGAGCTGGAGGTGATCGATGGCCAGGTGAGTGACCTCTGGCACACACTGAGACACGCTCAACCAAACACTGATCAGTTTTAACGAGAAAGCGCAGCCAGCTGCGCGTCACTGAGCGAGTGCAGCTCCTCTCTGCTGCGACCGTCTCTCTCTGATAGAAGTAGCAGCAGTTCCTGGAGGCTTTCGACCTTGTACTTAATGTCCTGAGCAACTTGGTGCTTTATTCAGCTGCCAAGCTTTGCTTTTTAAAACAAAGTGGATGCCCTTTCTTCTCCAAATTAGCCTGTTTAGATAAACATAGATTTCAATTATGTTTTTTTTTTTGTTTTTTTAATTCCCCTGCCTTCTAAATCTGGTAAAATTGCACTGGTGTAGACACGACCCAACCTTTTCCTGTTTTGGTCATCTTGTTATGTGGGGCTAATATGAGTCAAGTGAATGTGTTTTCAATGAGCTTTGATGGATTGTGTGTCTCTGTGTCCCTCAGGCTGTGTGGCGCGTGTAGATAAGCCCCTTATGAGGTGAAAAGCCCTCCCAGCACCACCAGCAGGAATAAAGGATGTCACGGCTGTTCCTCTTTTTGGCAGTCCTCATCGTCTCGTGCAGCATCCAGGTAGGTCACAGAAGTAGCTCTTTGGCATAAACCAGTGCTTCTCAAACTTTTTCAGGCCGAGGACCACTCAACCCATTTGACAAACACTCACGGACCACCTGGCTTGAGATTGACCCACAATGAGGCATCTAAATATGTACAACCATAAATGCAAATATTAGTCTCTTATTGACGTTTTCTTTGTTCATACATGGTGTTTGGTTAATATGAAGGGCTTCGACAGAATTACAGATTCTGATAGTGTGGATCCTAAGCTTTCCACACGAAAATAAAAAAAAAGTTGTTCTTTACTTTCAAGTGTTGTGTGCATTAATAACATTTAGGGCTATTTGTAACTTAGAAGCACAATTCAATAAAAAAAAAAAACAGACTTTGCCAGAAACAAAAATCCAATTCTACACCGTTAATTGTAAAATAAGCACTTCTCCACTGACCTTTCATCTGTAGCAACAAGCTTCAAATCTGTGACGTTGGAAGGCCTCTGTGCCATCATCCTTATCTTTAGCTCCTTCTGTAGCTTCTTTATTGGACTCTGAGATCATCCAGAGTGTGAAACTTTTTGTTGTTGTTGTTGTTGTTTTTAATAGGACTTTGTTCTGTGGCCATTCTCTAATCGTCTTCATAAGATTTATAGAACAACTACAACAAAAATCGGTGTTTTCAGTCAGAGGCTTCTTTTGAATCACTGTAATACAGACTGCTACAGGAGATCTTTCCTGCTCACAGCGATCAGCATCTACAAGAGCTTTGAAGATTTAGATAAGTTATAATAACATTCAGTTTCCCTTTGGGATTGATGAAGTTTTTTTTTGCGCCAGATGCTAAACAAATCTTTTACACAACTCTAACATGTAAAAAACAATAACAGAACATGCAAGCTCTTACTTTTCACACTTTGCCATGTGGATCTATAATCAGATGTTCCTAAACTGACACAAAACTGAATCAAAGCCAAATGTTTTGTTCTGTCTTTTTCTTTCTAGCAGCAGCAGAAATGGAATTACGAGTAAAAAACTTTAGGAGGAACATGACATCACAAAGTGTAATTGTTTACATATTGTACATAAACTTTATCTAGAGTCAAATTAACATTATAATTTACTAACATGTTGTTTTTGTTGGAACTATGTTTTTTTAACGGTTTAATTGAACTGTTTACTTGGTCTGATCACAGCATCCACAGGTAGCAAATCTTTAGGACATCACTGCACCTTTTTATTGAATTTTCTCCTGTGTGTGTCTAATCAGATGTCTCTTGCTGCTACCCTGGATAAAATGAAGGACGACTGGAAGCGGTATAGGACAGAATGTGAATACAACAACAGTCAATACCCGCCCAGCAGTGGTGAGCTTTCGATATTGAGTCTGTTTTTTTTTGTTTGTTTGTTTTTTCATTCCTGGCTTATTGCTACTGCAGAACTTTCAGAGGAAAATTTGCAGTAAAGTCAGTTTTTTGCCTTGTGTCACAAACCAGGTTTGCATCAGGTCCACCTTTGGAAGTTAAAGATGACATGAATTACATAATGTGGAATCAAGAAATTTGTGAAATATCAGGTGTAGAAGAGTTATGATCTCTTAACACATGGAAACAGAGAACAAAACATTTGTCATTTTATTTCTTTTGCCATTTTTGACTTGTGTTTTGTTTCATTTGAGTCAAACAATATCAGTTTGACCAAAGTTGCGTGATCTAGTGGCCAAGTTAAGGATTCAAAAAGACTTGAAACTAACCTTTTGTGCAACTGAGCAAAAAAAAGAAAAAAAAGAAAGTATGATTTAAGAACAGCCAGCTGTCAAACTACTTGTGAACTCTGGGTGAGAAGTAAGAAGAAGAAGAAATGAGAAAGTCTTCAACAATTAGGTGAATTTTGCTCTTCAGGTGCATTACTCCCCGTTAGGAAGTTCTGCCTCATCTTTTAAAACAAGCTGCTTCCCACACTTTATACAAAATTGTTCCTCTCAGCTCTCCAACACAGCAGCTCTCACGTAACGCCCCTGCTGTTCCATTAGTGTGAGAGCAGCTCAGCAGCTATAGAGAACATAGGATTCATTACTTTGTCCCCCTGAGCTTCCAGCTGTCTATACTCTCACAATTACGACTGATGTCCACTGATGAGAGACATAATGACACGTGGAAAGGCCGATTTTGAGGAAAGACCATTATGTTCCAGATAATGACTTCCGGCAGACGTTACTTCAAAAGACCGTTTTGAAACTTAAACAGTCAAAAACGAGCATCTGGGGGTGATATTAATGTTGTTTTTACTTTATTTTATTGTTTTCGCCCTCAGGTCTTGTGTGCAACAGGACGTTTGACGACTATGCCTGCTGGCCCGATGGATTCCCCAACACCACCGTCAGTGTGGAGTGCCCATGGTATTTGCCGTGGTACCATAAAGGTCAGAAAAAAACTGATAATATCTGTTAGAAGCAGACAGCCGTCGGTGATGATGACATTTTCTGTTGAAAATCCGTGTTTGTGTGTGTTTTTGCACATAGTTCAACATGGCATGGTGTATCAGGACTGTGATGCCAATGGCCAGTGGGTGACTAAGTACAATACCACCGAGTGTGAAATCCATAGCACAAACCAGGTGAGAAAAATATGTGAACATAATTATTTTAAGAGATGCAAGGGTAACACAAATATTTTATAAGCAGAATGACAATTTTACTGACATTAAATATATTTTAATGTGTTAATTGTTAAGCAAAAGGTGGCTTACTGTAAATACAAAGAACGCTTGGATATCAGGGGATTGCAAAGATTAAATTTAAAACATATATTGAAAATAGTACTTACAAAACCCCAAAATAAGAAAGTAAGATATTGCAAGCTGTGGTAAACTCTCATAAATTTCTAACCTGTCGTGTTTCTTTATTTGTTGTTTTGCAGATTTATTACAGATGTATCCGGATCATGTACACGGTGGGCTACTCCTTGTCCTTGGTGGCGCTGGTACTGGCCCTTGGTATTCTTATATTTTTCAGGTATGATCAGAAGAAATTTATTGTCTTTTTTTTTTTTTTACAACAAAGAAAAAGAATCAGTCAACTTTAAACCAGCTGACTGATTTGTCCCTGACTGTTTATTTGGGGGGGGGGGAAACCCATCAAATAGTTTGACAGCAATCTACTGCAGAAAAGTACAAATTCCAGGAAAGAACCACAGTTTAACAAAAAAAAAAGTTGAAACGAGTATTTTTGAGCAATCCAACGCAGGTCAGCCTTTACGTCCGTCTTGTTTTGTTTTTGTCAGAAAACTTCACTGCATGAGGAACAACATCCACATGAACCTGTTTGCTTCCTTCATCCTGCGAGCCCTTTCGGTCCTAATCAAAGATGCTCTGCTGGAGGCCAACTTCACATCGCAAAAGATCAGCGGAGACAGGGACCAGGGGTTCCCCAGTGTATCGATACCCCCAGTGGAGCTGCTGGTAATCATGGAAGAGTACTACGAAGAAAACCTAATAGTCCATAATGAAAGTTCTGGGTTCATAAAAACACTGTCAATCTTTTCAGGAGGTTAATTATGTACGTGTTCTGAATTATTTCTCCCGTATTTGCTTTTGTATCTCTTTATAACTTCAATTCTGTGCAATGAATTTATTCTTTGTCTACCTTAGTAAGACATTTAATCATCTGACAATGCGCTGGTGAAGATTTTTACTGGAATGAAAAACAGGTGGGCCTAATTACTAGATGGAGAACAGCTGAGAGAACGCAGAAACCCCAAAAACAAAAACCACATGACTGAAACGTGGGGAAATGGGAAATAGGAGAAGCAGCAAAAGTAAACGCGACGCTGTGCACAAAAAAGGAGGACCAGACGGCCAAACTAAAACATGAACTGAGATCTACACAGAAACAATTTTACACAAAAATACGCAACAATATGCACAGGATCAAAAACCCACAGAGAAATATGTAAAAGGAGTCCAAACAAAGTAATCAATAATAAGTCAGACTGCTGCAAAATAAAACTTTCTCCTGATATTACAAGAATGTATGATATGAGGCGATGCAAAACAAATTTTTATTGCAGCAGCAGCAGCCTTAAAGACCAGCTAAGTCCTACTGGTTTGGTTGGTGATTCTCATTTGGAGGAAGCTTTAATCTGAAATTCTGCCTGACAATCAAAACAAATGCTTTCATTTGAAATGGACACCTGTGGGGGGCGTACGTAAACATTCCTGACCTCATTCAGCCAAAAGTGAGTTAAAAGTTAGTCAGTTGCCACGGTTACTCTGCTGAAGATGTGCAACGTCGTCACAAATGTCTTGTCAGGTCATGTCAAAAGCCAATAGCTCTAAGATAGTAATACAAGCTAATTATCTACAAAAGAAAGACGATGCTTTCCACTGCGCGCTGAGCTGTGTGACACAGCTGGCCGTGAAAGTCGCTGCTTTTGTGGAATCCGATCGCCTTCGGCAAAACGCCTGGATCCCGCTGCCAGAAAAGGAGATCCCATCTGCAGCGGCTCTGATCCCGACCACGTTCAGCTGAAAATGCATGTGGAGTTTTGTGAAACGTCCCTCCGCTCTCTTGCAGACCACAATTAGCTGCCGCACTGCCTTGGTGATGATGCAGTACAGCATCATGGCCAACAGCTACTGGCTGCTGGTGGAAGGCATCTACCTCCACAACCTGCTGGTCATTACCGTGTTCACGGAGAGGAACTACTTCAAAATCTACCTGTGCATCGGTTGGGGTGAGCTGACCTGTTCTGGATAGGAGGATGTGCGTCTGCAAGTTCAGCATATAACCTGTTTTTTTTGTTTGTTTCTTACAGGAACACCATTAATATTCCTTGTTCCCTGGGCAGTCTCTAAGTATTTATATGAAAATAAAGAGTAAGTATTTCTTCTTCTTTTACTTTTAGTTTCAAAAGCAATATTTTTGTGCGACCACGTTAAGATGTTTTCAGAAGGTGGTTTGATGAACTCTAAATATGTGATTAAAATTTACAGCAGCTTGTTGCTGCTCTGAGGTGAAAGTAAATTATCTCATGGTCAGGAGTTAAAACATTAAATGTCAGAAATATGTCATGTTCATCGTCAGGCCCCTGTTGCGCGCCGCTTAGCGGTAAACGGAGGGACATGCATTTCAAAGCCACACTTTCTAAACGCTGAGAAAACAACTCATCAGCCAACACGAGACTCGGCTGCAAATCTCAGAACAAGGAAGCTATAAATGTCCAAGAAGCATGTAAGAAATGTCCTGTAGTCGCTGCTGTTTCCTTCAATGTGTTTCTGTTTTCAGGTGCTGGGAGCAGAACACAGACATGAATATCTGGTGGATAATCCGAGCGCCGATACTGCTTGGCGTTGTGGTAATTTTCTGCAACATCCATTTTTCTTTTTTTTTTTTTTTGTTTAAATTCAGCACAAACGTAATCCCAAGAAAACTCCAAATGCACGACTGGCATCTTGCATTTCCACTTGGCTGCATAGTGTTTTTGTTAAATTGTACCCTATGCAATATTAAGACCAGCTCATTTATTTATGAAGTGAGAAAGGTTGGCTGTGCTTCAGATCTAACGTCTGGGAAGCATGTTAGGCCTCCTAGGATTCTGGGTTAAGCAAATGCAATTATCATGCATTTTGTTCAGCGACACAGATCGTGGGCTTTGTGAGGGTCAGTTCAGAGCGTTTATGTTGCTCCAGTCGGTCATGCTTGCCAGACATCCTGGCATTTTCCATGCATTAATCGTCCTGCTAAGTGGCCTGTATCCCGCAGGAATTCCTGTGTCGGAGTTGTTTGTAGGAATGGTGGGGCCGGTCCTCATTCCAGAGTTTCCCTCATTATTCTGATTCCACTGGCTTTTTTGTTTTTTTGTTTGTTTGCTTTTGTTTTTTCGAGCTTCGCATCAGAGCAGGAAAAGCCGAAACACTTCCAGAATTGGCAAACTGTTTACGAAAAATGTTCAACTTACTTATCCAAAACTGTATCCTAAAAATCCATTATCTTATTACTCAGATTACATCTTAAATATAAAAATAAATAAATAAATAACATTTTAAATAAACATTTTAGCTTTCATATTGCTTTGGACAGATAGACATTAGAGTCATGCGTCCAAATTAAGTCCAGCATACTTTCCTAATTTAATCCTCGCAGGACGAACATGTTAAAGGTCGCATCCGAACGCATGCTCATCAGAAAAGCGCCGACTGTTTCTTAAAAGAAATGCCAGCTGACGTGGAAAAGCCGAAATATGTTCCAGTGACTAATTGTTTTACATCTAATCTGCATGTGTTGGTCAGAGACAGATTCAGTTTAACAAGAAGCCTCAGTTTTATTTATTTAGTTGTTATAAAAATGAGCTGCAGTTGCTGCTTGCGTGCTAGCCAGATATTCTCATCTTTAATTTCAGAGTATTTGAAGCCAAATCCTTTTTTTTTTCTTAGAGGCTTTTATTAGGAAGTAAAAATCTGTGATTGTTTTGAACATGATTGTTTAATTAAATGTTCCCATTTGCCCTGCACAAAGTAAGCTAGGTAAAACAATAAGAACTGTGTTTACTTTAAAGCAGAGGCTTTAAAGTATTTGGACCAGATTGTTAGAAGTTGCATAAGAAGCTGTTGTTTACTTGCAGTGGATAAATAACCCTTAAGATTTGAAAATGTTTCCGTGATAATTCGCCTAATTTCAGAAAATGTAATGCCCATCTGCAGTCTTTTTTCCTTGGTTGTTTTCAAGTTTAATCAACTAAACAAATCTTCACAACATTAACATGACCAGAAAAATAAATGTTTATGATTAATATTTTGGCGATAGTGATTCACTGGCAATAATCGCCAGGCGACTGGAATCAATCGATCATCAGAGTGGCTCTTTTCTCTTTTGAAAACCTCTGCAGAGTCTTTACCGCAGCTTTTTTTGCTTCAAGGTTGTTATTTAAGTATAAATCCAGCTGTTCTCACCGGGCCTCAGAGGTTTTCTAAAGAACGTTAGGGAGCAAAAATGCATCGCAAAGAGCCGAGATCACAGAAGAGAGGTCGGGAATGAGAGGGGTGGAGAAGTTTAATCTTCAGAAACCTTTGTGGGGCAATGTTTAATCCATCACCGGAGAATGAAAAAGGAATGGACACAGCCGCAAACCTGCCACCACATGGTTGCTCGTCTGAACTAGATAGTCTGGCAAGGAGCGCATTAATTAGAGGAACGGCAAGAAGCACAATGTTGTCTCTGGAGGAGCTCCAGAGATCCACAGTGCAGGTAGGAGAATCTGCTGACTGGGCAACAAATTCGTCTCGCGCTCGTCTTTCTGGAAGAGTGTCGAGGCGAGAGCGGGGTGAACATAAAAGCACGGCACGCTTTTCAGATCGTCTGTTTTTTATTACACCAATAAAAAAAAAACCCACACTGAAGTGTGTGATAGTAACATGAGAAAATATGGAAAGATTTAAAGTGTGTGAAGAGTTTCGCAAAGCGCTCGTTAAGCCCGAGCCACCACTCTGCCTCTAGAGATGCAGTGATGATGCATCCTTCAGATTAGAGGGAATCAAGTTTTTTTTTTTTCTTCCCTTCACATCGTCTCCAACAAAGTTGCGTAATATATTGTTTTTTTAATCTGGAGGATTTATTCCCGATGCTTATGTATGTTTTGGCTTTTCAGGGGAAATTTAAGCATTTGCTCTGGAGAAATCTTCTTTCTGTATTTATCGTCAAACTTATTAACATTTGGCTATATTCCTTCAGGAGAGCTTTTCACTTGGTTGGATGTTGCATAACAGCTTTCCTACCTCACAACAGGCCTCTTTGGGTCATCCACAAACATTATCTTCAATGGATCTCAATTTATACTACAATGTTTACATTTATTTTCATTGCACAACAGAAAATTGGATAACAACATTGGGAGCCTCTTGAATCAGAAAAGACTGAGAGATTTGACTTTTCCCACCAAGCAGGGTCTTTCTCTGCTGGAGTTGGTGGCAAGACGATTTCAGTAAAACACTTTTAAAGTCTGTAAGACTCATAGAAACTTGTAAGTTATGACAAATAATGCAGGGTTAAGTTAACATTTGAAAAACAAAACAAACAAACAAAAAAAAATGCCTGAGTCCCTGAGAAAGAATAGCCTGTAAAGCAGAAAAGGTCCTACAATTTTACAGTATTTCCAAGAAGCAAAGCAACTTCAGGAAGACACACATATTTTTGAAACTTTCTTTTTACGCGTTTCCTTATGTTTATAACCCATTTTTGCAGTTTTTTGACTATCTCTGTCTTTTCACAGATCAACTTTATTATCTTTATACATATCATCAAAATCCTTGTCTCGAAACTTCGAGCACACCAAATGAGATACACAGATTATAAAGTCAGGTAAGTTTAGATGATTAAATTGATCTTTTTAATCGCCGTTTCTTACTTGGAACTTAGTTTATGCTCTTTTTCTACGTCTCAGGTTGGCGAAATCAACTTTAACGCTGATCCCTCTTCTGGGTATCCATCAGATTGTCTTCATCTTCCTGCCAGAGGAGACCACCAACAAGAGCTTGCATTTACATCTCACTAAGCTCTTCATCGACCTCTTTTTCTCCTCCTTCCAGGTTGGAGCATGACTTTAAGAACAAACGCATTTATTTACACATCTTAGTCAAATTATTTATGAAGCGGTAGGACAGCAGCAAGAATAAAGAGTTTTGAAGAGTTTAAACTGTGTCAGAAGGCAATTAAAGGCGTTAAAATAATCTAATCTGCCAATTGATGAGTCAAATAAAACCACATAGGAGGGAAGATGGTGTAAAAGAGAATCTTCTGAGCTTTAAAAAAAAAAACATAAGTCCATCTCCAGATGTCTCTCAACTGCATGCACTCATTGCAGCTCGCTGATTATTACTAACTTAATAGAAAACTTACTATCCATTTTGTCGTTATTTTTTATTTCTTATGCATTTGTTTCTCTCCGTGTTCATAAATAATAATCTCACTTCACAATGCGTCTCGTCTGATCAGCCCTTCCCAGCCGTGTCCCTCCTCGTTGTGACGTAACAGCTGTGTTGCTTTTCACGTAAAATACTCGGAGAAAATTTGTCGCAGATATTCTGGATCGGCGTGTGTGTGTGTGTGTGCGCCGTAGGGGAAAATAACGAAAGGAACGAGCAAAGAGAGAAGACGAGCAAGATGTGGAAGATTACAGTTGAGCCCAAATGTTATTCATACCTCTGGCATATTTAGGTTTGAAATAAGTTTTAATTTTGACAACATGCTTCCTCTTTCTGGAAGTGATACGAATGTTTTGGGTTGGCACGGTCTGAGCCTCGACTTGAAACTCGTGGAGAAACTTTGGTGGGAGCTAAAGATTAGCGTGATGGCCAGGAGGCCCTCCAGCCTCAAAGACTTGGAGCTCAGAAAGCAAAGATAAATAATCAAAATACCAGTGGAAACATGCGAAAGGAGAATTCACCGCTGTAATGCCAATGCAGATGAATTTTGGATAAATATCTGTTGTCTTCTCAGGGTCTCCTGGTGGCGATCTTGTACTGTTTTGTCAACAAAGAAGTGAGTTTCCCGAGCTACAATAAATATTTCCAACCTCTGATTTTTATGTTGTCCCATTTCTTAACGTCTCCTTTATCTTTTGTGATTCCCATAGGTGCAATCTGAGATCCTGAAAAAGTGGAAGCGCTGGAAGCTGGGGAGGAACATCGAGGAGGAATACCGCCACACCTACAGCAATTCCAACAACACCAAGACGGGCAGCCTGCTGAACCACATCCCTCGGCTTCCCCACCTCCCGGACATCGCCAAATCTTCCGGCCCAGTCTGCAGTCCCGAAGAGCAAACGTGGCTCGTGGCTCGCTGCCACAACGGGACGGTCCACGGCAAGGAGACGGAAAACTCCGGCTCGCAGCAGAACGAAGGAACCAGCAACTGCACCCTTGTGGAGGACATCAGTCAGTCGGAGAAGACGCAGTGCTACGAGGTGCAGAGAGAGAATGTTGAGAGCCACCTCTGAAAGAAACGAGGAGAAAAGGACTTTTAGGAAGGAAGTTAGATGGCTTTGAGCTCCGCTGGAGCTCTGACTGAAAGCCCTAGTTGGGTTTTGAAGCGGTGTGCCGACTGAATCACTCGTGGGAGCAGTCGTCAGTCATCAGTGTCGCCGGGAGACGCGGCAGCTCTAAGCCCTGTAACATGACAGCAGTATGGCAGATGTCCAGACCAGGATGCTCGGTGTGCTGCGAGTCTTGTGAATGGATTGTTCTCGATGTTTTGTCATTTTAATAATATGGAGCTGCTGCCCGTTGAACAACTTCACAAACAATATCAAGAAAACACAAATAACTACAATAGAAATACAACAAAAAAAAAAGAAAACACACCAAGTCCTGGCGTGAGTCTCTGCTTCAGTGTTTGCCGTCTGACAAATGTGTGTTTTGTGGTACAACAAACTGGACATTGGACTTGCGCACACAATAAACAAGACCAAATGACACAGAACAAGGACAGAAGGGATTGCTTTTTTGTACTCTATATGCTCTGCTCTGGTGCGTGTACATCGCTATCTTGTTCATACAGATTTTAATGAAACTGTACAGAGAAAGGAAGAAAAAAAAACATTCTGGTGACTTTACAGTGAGGAAACCACAGAGTTATTGTGGATGGGAAAAAGGCAGCTGTTCACCCCAGGTCCTACCCGGCGTAGGAAACAAAATAAGGTCGAGGTATAAAGAACTAAACGAATGACGTTGCTATTCTTTTGGTATTGCCGAGTGTTACAGTTTTATATTGGTCACAGTTGTGAAAGTATCAATACCCCTTTTCCACATTTGTTTGCATTACAAAAACACAAATTTTGATGCATTCTGTTGGAATTTTATGTAAAAGACAAACAGAAAGAAGCACATTATAGGCAAGCTAAAGACAGAATATTTAAGGTTTTTATCTTTGTTTTAAAAATATTAATCTGAAAAGAGTGGTACGTATTTATATCCATGCCACTGTCATTATATTTTAGCTACTCTAAGATTTTCTTCCGGCATTGCCCTTTAGAAATATTCCTTTAGGTGCTCCGCTTTGCTTTAACAATCAAATCTGACTTGCTTCTGTCTTTTCTTAAAATGTTGTCGAAATACCTCAGATTTAGATGAATCTGTTTAAAGAATATAATTCCTATACAAGTCTTGGTCTTTGTCTGTTGCTTAGAGACCAAGTCTTTCCTTCTTGTACGCCTATCATTGAAGTTAACTCTGATTGTTCAGTTTATTTTTGAGACTTCTTTTAGCTTTCTGCTTTCAGGGTGAACTTGCTTCGGTGAGTAGAGGTCTGCGTTCTGGCAGGTGTTTTAAATATCCTCCATGTATAGACTGCTTTCTGGAAAGCGGAATGGCTTATTTTATTCTTTTGAGAGCTCTTTAAAGTCAGTATAAGATTCATAAGATCCTCCAATATTCATTTGAAAGGTTGCAGACAGCTCTTTAGATCCAACCATGCTGTTCAACTCTCAGTTCAGCGGTCGAAAGCTCACCGAGCTAAATGTCTGAGGTTTAAAAAAATACAAAACGCCTTCAAAACGCTGACTAACTGCGATAAGCTTATGTGTACATTTAGTCTTTAAAAACAGGAATTTATGTGGGGTGTCCTAATTTATTTCTCAATACATTTGTGATTCTTATTAACATTTAACAGAAAAATTCAGTGGATGGATCTTTCTAAAGGCGATGTAGCACTGGATTTTATTCATGGTTATCAGATTAGAGGAAATTAAAGGTGAAGAACACAAATTTCAGATTTTTTTTTTAATTCTCAAAATTAAAAGACAATTTTGGTTGATTTGCCACATAAAAATATCAGTAAACAGACTGAGGTTTGTGCTTTTAATACAATATGTTAAAAAAAAAAGTCAAAGGGGTAAGACTGTTTTTGCAAGGCAACGTATACTGTATGTAGAAAAAGTGCCAACCATGTGCCGCTATAATCAATGCAAAAAACAAACCAACAAGCAACCGAGTCAGATTTCCACATTTCCATCACTTCATAATGGATCAGTGTTACTCAAAGTGACCCAGCACCTCCAAAACAGTGTGTTTGCAGTATTACTTTGCCAATTTAGCAGATATGCAGAGCTACAACTACCAACTTGTGAGAATCATTCACAAAGTGTTAACGTACGCCATAAAGTGACATCAGATACCGTACAAATGTGAGTCAGAAGGTGCTAGTGATTACAGGCGCCATAGTGTTTACCATGCAACCACATCCTGAACAACAGTTGTGTGAAAGCAGAACAAAGCTTCTCCAGTTAGCTTTTAGACGCTAATGTTAGCGGTTCAGTTGCTTGTAGATAAAAAGCGATGGCCACTCACAGAGCATTGAGCTCCTAGCAGATCTGCGTGAGCTACCTAACATGATTTTTGTATGAATGGCTAATTGCGCAGTGTTCATTTATAACAGCTAAATGTTATATGCACATACGCAAGTGTTTATATGCATAATTTAGCCTTCTTGTGAATGTGTGTTTATACAGGGTATGAATACTTTTGACGTTATTATTCCAGATATGTGGATGTATTACACTAGGAGGAAAAGTACGTCAGGTAAACAGAGGAGCACAGAGGTCAAAGGCCAGTACAAATCAGTCCCACTCTGGCATTAAGCAGAACGGGACCACAGGACATTCCCAGAATTCATGTTGATATAGTTCGTAAAGAAGAAAGAGCTCTGTCCTTTGTTTCAAAGCACCGATGGACCTCAGAGCAAATTCGAGCACTACAGCAACATTTTTGTTGTGTCAGATAATTGTTCTGCTCCCAGCCACTTTCTACCGTTGAGTGGGTAGAAAAAAAAAAATGCATGCGGAAGCTATTTTCCATCAGCATCTGCCGAGGGTTGTCACAGAGCAAGTAGACATCCAATAATTGAGCTGGGAGCACGGTGCTCACACGGGTGCTGCAGAAGTGGAGGGAAATGCTTGCACACTCAAAACAAATGAGTAATGGCTGGTTTTGGCAAAAACAGATGCATACTGCTATTTTTATTTCAAAGTAAAAATCTGCAATTTAACAAACTCTGACTTGTAAAGATAGGTTTGGGTCATTCCTCCTCTGCGTCTGAATGTATTCGTGGAAAGGCTCAAGTTAATATGTTCCTTTACTCTTCTAGTCACGGTGGTTATGTAAAGTATGAACGGGTCAGTGGAAGCTGATCACATTCAGGTGTAAACAGTCTGTCATATATTGTATTATATCTGTACAAGTGGTCAAAGAATAAAATTTTATGTATGTGAAATATTAATTTACCTCACTAAGTATTTTGTATCATTAGACGCTTAAGACATTAAAGAAAAGAGAAAGGATATGCTGATTAAACTGAGAAGTTCTTTGGTGACAGAGTGTTTTGACTGATTAAGAAGCAGACCTTGCTAAAAAATTAAGTATTGATTCGTCGTCTGGTCCAGCTCCCGGTTTAAAAGCCACACCAATTAATAATTTTGTGATTAACTTTTTTTTTTTTACCCCCAACGCTCTTTTTTTTTTTTTTTTGACTACAGCTCGACGACTAAAGATTGCCAAATAAACTTTACCAACATATGTACAAAGACTTTAACTTCACAGTACATATCATGACCACACAACAGTATTCCAAACTGTGCCATTTTAAAAACAACACTGATTATGTAAAAGTAAACGATATGCTTGTGCAAAACACTTTAAATTAGCGAGCTTTGGAGTGTTTCTGTAAAACAGCAGAAGCAACTAAAACGTTCATGTTTGTATGAGCAGTCAAAGTACACTCAGCACATGTATTCCAACAATGGGAGCAAAAAGCTGACTGAACAACCAGGCAAATTCACAGGTGGTGATGAGAAATGAATTTTTGTTTCCGGTGTTATGTTTTAAAGGATCATTTATAATTAGCAAATGCTTTTGTAAACAACATGGGGTTCCTCAGCAGTGGCATTTGCAAGATGCCGCTTATGGCAACCAATTCAGTATGAATAGTCAGAGAGTTATTATTGCCTTTAGTTTCTTATTAGCTGCTGAACAAAGTGGAGATAAACAATCTACTGTAACACAGCGTTTATCCTGGGCCTCTGGAGCACAGCACTGTTTCTTCCTGTTATTGTTGCCTCAGGTCATTCATCTCTTCATCCCTTTCTACTTAATGCTGATCTGAGGATAACAGGATGGATTGTTTACACCTGCAAGTATGCTTGCTTTGTGTTTATCTGCTGAACACAGATTTGTGTCAGAACTCTGAGTTAAAACAAGACCAGTGCTGAAAGCGGTGCTGTTTTGTCTTCAGAAGATGTGACGGACACAGCTTTTGTTTTTAGTGTTCCCATAAAATCAACACCACAATGTCTTGGCATGAAAAATACCAGGCAAACAAAAATTATGTTGTGGTGAATTTTATTTTTTTTTTAAAATATTTATATTAAGTACAACTCCACACATCAAATCAGCAAAACAGGACTTAAAACATAAAACATTTCCCATATATGGTAGTGATGAGTGTTTTTAACATCAAAGTACAATTAAAAATGTGTTTTTCACCTATGCATCTTTTTTTGTGGTCATTTTAAGTGATTATCATTATTATATTCATACCTGTGTTGTGGTTAAAAAACGGCGATAAAATGTATTCATACTCCAGTATTGCAGTTGTCCTAATTAATCCTAAAGTCTGTCCACTGTAGTTTTTTTTTTTTTTTTTCACATTTCAAGTTGCACCAAATGTTGCCTCAAAGTAGTGCTATACATTTTTGGGCAGAAAGGGAAAGCAAATTTCTGACACACATTCTGATATTCATTTGGCTCAGGCACTGAGAAAAAAAAAAGACTCATTGCTGCAGCTAATTTTCATGGATAAAAAACCTGCATAAGGAATTCGGAGGGTATTTTATATTTAATTAATCAATCCATGGATATCAGCAGGCATATCTTTGGGTGTAATTGCTGTTCATGTGGCACATTTGGCCTTTAAGTGTTTTACTCCCAAGTTAAGCTAACCAGTAAAAAATACTACTAATAGTTTATTTTTAAGCTCTAATTTGTCTCTGTCAGTTTTGTGCATCTGAACCAAACTGCTGTGGTGTTTTTTCTGACTTTCTTCCCAGTTCCCTCTGCTGAAGCGGCTTCCTGCCTGGTTGTTTGTGATGAATGTAAGAGAGGGCGATTACAAACTCTGATGAAATGTGGTTTACCATTGGTCTGCATAATGGTTCCAAAATATGAAGAGCGCACAGAAGAAGCATATCCAATGATAACCTGCCAAATTTCTGAACAACAACAAAAAAAACACCCTGGCAAAGCCATTATATGAACTGAAAGTAAAAAAAAAATTTCATTAAAAGTGAATTGTTTACATTATTTTATAACAGGAGGAATAATGAGAAGAAAATGTGGCTCAAACCCCCTTTGCTCAAAAGGTAAATGTATGTATTAGGGAGAAAGGTCAATATTTTCTCCCTCAGGCCTGGGAACTGAGCCTGCAGTGTCCTGATGTGGACAAACTGATTATGTGTGATTGAGCCATAAAGCCAGTGAGTTATTTTCCACCTTCCTGTCTCCGACAGGCCGTTGTGGCTCTCATGCTGTCATCGCCTCCCAGGATCTTCATCGTGGCACAGCTGCAGAGACGCAGCGTATATTGAATGAATATTAAACATCCACACATTTTACAAGGATAAAGGGCACTGAAATAAAGTGTGAGTGCGTAAGAGTGGCATGTGCTTTTTGTTCTGCTCGGTGTGGAAACAGCGATCATGTTTCATATCCGGGGAAGGGATTGTGTCATTGCCTTGAGTTTGTTTCCCATCAGCAAAATGAACGAAGACAGAGAGCTGTAGTACAAAATCCTTTTAAAACAGGCTTTCATTTTACAGTTCAGCGGGTACAAAACTCAGAGCTGATATATAAGAAGCTGTCAGATATCACATTATTAACATAAACACAAAGACTTCTCTGTCAGAGTTGGAGTTTTATCTGTTCCGCTCTTTTCTTGCCATTCTTTGTCTCAAATTTTAGCTTTAAAATGTCTAAAAAATAAATACATTTTCACAGTTCAAGGTCAATATTCAAAACTTATCACACCCTGTAAAACCTCACACAGCAAAACCTGTGTGTGTTTGTGCACAGATTTGCAGCATGCTTCCTGAAGAAATTACTTTCACTATTTTCAGTCTTACCTACACTAAAAAACTGTTGTAAGAAGAAATCATGAGTTGACAAATGGTTACATTTCTAGTATAAATGTGCTATGAGGAAGAGTTTTATATTTATAGTGTCAAAGAAATATCGCTAAAGAGCACAGACAGTTTTAAAATATTTAAGGATACTCTGTTATTCTCATGCTTGACCATTAACCTGTGTGACGGTGTACGATTACATATTTTGTTACCAGGCATTTGTGAACCTGATGATGACTGGCTCCCTGCTGTGCAGAGTCCTGCTTTAAGGTCACAGGCTCCGCCCACAAGAAGAGAAAACAAATTAAAAAAAAACTAAACAGTCACTTCCAACTCAAGTAAATTCTTATCAAAGTTTACAAAATAAATAAAATAATGATAACACTGAAAAAAAATAAACCTGTGACCAGAAATACAATACTCAATTTAATAGAAAAACAAAACGCTCAATACGTCACTACGTCGTCACGTGACTCCCTCCCAGCGCGGATTGACGTAACACCGGAAATAGCTTTGTTTGAATATCTAAACCGGGAAAATGTTTGGTCGTGAAAACTACGAGCTAGGATGGATATGACAGCTGAAGCAGGAACACCGCGTGTTCACCCACGACGAACCGCGCCAATTTGTTCTGAAACCAAAAAGTAAGTTATGTCGGATGTGGGTGTTTGTGCGCTTGCATGTCGGCTCGGCACGGACTTTACCGTAGAACTGTGTCCCGTATCCTGACGGCTCCTCCCTCACTCACTGCTGGGTGATACTTTTGCAGCCAACTGCTTGTTTTATTGATGGTTAATTTAAAAGATACTTTTTGAAACTACATATACCGTATAAAAGACACATTTTTCCCCGGTCTTTCTGCTTCTCACAGTAGTTTGCTTGAATTCAAGCCCATTCTTCCTTACAGAACTTGGTGATCTAAGTCAGATTTGTAAGTTTCCATACTCAAACTAATCTTTCCAGCTATGCATACAGTTTTTTTTTTTCTTGGATTGAAATCAGGGCTTTGTGATGGTCACAACAAAACCTTAACTTTGTTGTCCTTAAGCCTCTTTGTAGTTTGGAGGTATAACTCTGGATATTGTCAGTAGAAAAGCCTATTTGTGTCCACACATTGATTTTTTTTTTCCCGGTTTATGTCTTGATCTGCTGTTTCCGTATTTTCTTGTAATTTCTTTTTATCATGAATTTATTTAATTTGGAGGTGCACCAGTTGCCACCTTCCTCAAAATGCTGCCACTTCTGTCCTTTACAGTAATAAGTTTCCCTTGTTTCTCCTAACGTAACCATGGTGATTGTGGTCAAACTCTTCAATTATAGTTTCATCACACCACAGGTCTGTTTTCCAAAAATTCAGGATGGGGTGGGGGGAGGTTTCCCCCAGAGGGCATTTGCAAATTGTAATTTGACTTTTGGAGTTAAAGTAAATGCTTGGAGATTTGCATCATAATTTGATCACCTTAAGACATTTCGTTTGTATTATCCAAAATCAACTTTTCTCAGCTCTCTATGTTAAAACGTCATTCTCTCAAACACATGCATACAGTTCTGCTTTGATTCATTCACGCATCTTTGAGAAATCCTTGAATCAGAAACCCTGATAATGCATAACCCCTTCCACTTTAATAAACTCAGTCAAAGCTTAGATAAACTTGTGTTGTTTGTGAAAGTGCTCTATAAAACTCTTAGTTAAGCTGAAGATTCGATTAGGCAGACATTTTTTGAGATACTTGTTGGCAAAATGAGTGTCTAGGCATTTAAGCCATTTACACATCACACTCAAAAAATATTTTCTGTGCAATTCACATGACTCATTTTTTGGATAGTTTATGTATTTATTCCATATTCCTCAGGTTTCATCACTTTCATTCTGCTCTGCTAAATTAGCATCAATTACCCTCATCCTCACAAGGCAGAGGAGTAAAGCATGATCACCATCGTTTGTGTGGTTAATGCCTTCACGTCATCGGCGCAGGCATCAGTTGCAAGAGCTCATTTGCTGTATTTGAGAGGTCCTCTTATCGTGTCCCTAAAGCAACGCAGAGTTCCCTGAGTACACACAGTCTGGGTCAAAGCCAATTTACCAAAGCCACAACATCCC